GGTGCCACCCACAGGAGAAAGGTCAGCTCATCTCAAGTAGGTATTAATGTAACTCCTCATAGACACATCCCCAGCGACACTCTCCTCCCAGAGGACTCAATTTTGCCAAGTTGATAATGAAAACTAACTGACATAGCCTAAAGCCAAACTCAGGAGAGCCCAGGTCGCCCGCTCATATCCTGGAATGCTGGAGGTTTGTAAACCTTTTTAGTGAGTAGAAGGGTGGATTTAAATTATCACTAAAAGCCTAGCACAGCTTGCATGCCTGTGATGCTAGCTACTTGGAAGGATGAAGCAAGAGATGTGTTTGAGCCCAGGAGTTCAAGGCCAGCCTGAGCAACATAGCAAGGCTTTGCCTCAAAAGAAAAGTTAATTTCACAGTAACTGAGTGTGGCGGGTGCCACAGTCCCCAGCTAGGAAAGGCATCTCTTGGGCTGGAGAGATGGCTCAGCAGTGAAGAGCATCCTCATGGTGGCTTACATTCAGAGAACTGGGGCCAGAACTGTAACCCAGGTTTTATGGGTCACCAGCCTGGGCCTACCAGGGTCCTTTCAGTTGCTCTCTCCCACCCACCATCTTACCAGAAGGATTTCCTACCTAAACTTAACTCTTTTGCCCTTTCTTTTCTGTGTAATGGGTCTTTCTAAAGGACAAATCAGTCTGAAACATTCCCTTCCTCTAGTCCTTGTCCACCCTACCCCCACCATGCTCCTGTCACTGAGGTTCCCAGGTGGCAGACACTCTCTCCCAACTCTAACCTTTGCACATGCTGTCCCCTGCTCCTCCCAGCCCCGCTGTGTCTCTCTGCTCTTGTGTTGGTTTCAGAGGTGTTCTGTGAGACCGCCCTGGCCTGCTGGCCTCCAGGGTGGGCTGTCCCTCCTGTGTGCTGGCCTCCAGGGTCGGCTGTCCCTCCTGTGTGCTGGCAGCAGCTCTGTACTGTAAGGATCACTTCCTCAGCAGTCCTTCCTGCTCCACTGGAGAAGATTCTGGGGCACTGCTACCACCATACCTAGCCTAGATCCAGACACATAACAAGTGTGCAAAACATTGGTGTCCACCCTCCAAGAGTCCCAAAATGTTTGAGTACACGACCAAGAAAGGCTTCTCTGGAACACTCTGGTTACTCGGTCACGGCATGTTTCTATGCCTCTGTGTCTTTACATATTCTCTCTGACTAGTGTGCCCCTCCCTGACTCTCCTGCTAGTGTAATCAGTATGTATCCATTGTTGGTTTAAACACATCTGACCAGGCTGGCCTCAAACTTGCTATGTGTGAGTATTGTCTTGTCCTCTTGGTTCTCCTGCTTCCACCTCTGTGAGCCCTGTTCTCTGTATCATGTTTCCCTTTCCTTCATCTCCCACTTAGTCAAAAGTCCTGCCCATTACATTGCAAATGTGTGCTTCTGGGTCTGTCATGAACATCAGGCCGTGACTCTTCACTGGAGAAGGATGCTACTCTGGGGAAACGGGACTGGAATACAATTCAAACCTTTAAAAGCATCAAATGAATCTCTTGCATTCTACACTAACCATAGAAAGATTTAACAAACACATCACACTCTGGAATGTTCCAGAATAGACTTCATACTGCCCTACTTCTGCAAAATGCTCCCACTGACCCACTTCCCAGCAAATTTCATAGTCAAACACATTAGAGACATGCAAGAAATATATTCCCCTGCCCCCACCCCCAGGGTAGAGGTTCATAGTTCACATTCATTCCTTGATTTATCTGGTTTACATATCCTTACTTTTTTTGTTGCCCTCAGGATTGAAATGAAGGCTTCGTGCATACTAGACAAATGCTGTCTACCTTGAGATACACCCGGCCCTGCTTCATACCTATTTAATGAGCACCACTGTATGCTAGCCCTGTGTTCAGTGCCAAGGCATGCCTGCTGCACTGGCCCAGGCTTTAGGAAGAATGTTTGCCCTGCAGCTTCAACTTCACTGGTTTACAGATCTCAGTTCTCAAGGGGGTGGTCCTGTCAGGTGATGCAGCGTGGCTCCAATGAGCTTTGCTATGAAATGATCATTTTGTACACTGTGAAGATGTGTCACTCTGGTTGGTTTAATACAGAGTTGAATGACCAATAGCTAGGCAGGACTTTTAGGCACAGAGGATACTGGGAAGAAGAAAGGCAGAGTCATGGAGAAAGCCTGACATGTAGGCAACGAGGTAAAAGTCATGAGCTACGTGGCAGCACGTAGATGAATAGAAATGGGTTAATTTAAGTTGTAAGAGCTAGTTAGAAGAGAGCCTAAGCTATTGGCTGAGTTTACACAATTAATAAGTCTCTGTGTAGTTATTTGGGAGCTGGCTGGCAGGACAGAGAAAGACTCGCAACAGAGTTTAGCATGGAGGAGAGCACTAGACAGGCTGGAGTCACTGGTTACAGGCTAACTGGGTTGCTGTTATACAGTTGGACAAAGGAACCACTACATAGAACCCAGGGGTTCTCCACACTCCTTAACACTTCCACTGCTGATAGAAACGTAACAAAAATAGAATCAACCAACAGCCAGAGTGTTTCTGTTTGGACTTTTTGGCAGGTCTTGTCAGGATTCAGACCCTTTGAAATGACAGTTTAAGTAACCTTGCCAGATTAAACAAACAAACAAACACAAAAGTGAGACCAGAGGAAATATAAAGCTGGAGGCTAACAGGACCTGGGGTGAAGTGGAAGAAAGAGCTCATGAATGTTATGTTCAGCTTCATGGTCAGTCAAAGATGTGGTGATGGCAGTCTCACCCGTGTTTCTGCCTGTAGTCTTCTGCGCCCACAGCATTGGTCTTCCTTGTGCTCCCCTATATATGCCTTCACCTCCCCCAAATTGTTTCATAGAAGGATTATTGACAGTGGCTGGCTGGTTATAGGTTCTTTAAGCAGGACTGATTAGAAAGTAATATTAGTTGATCATGGGTCTAGGGTCTTTGAGTGTCTATCTCCCCATGTGACGAAAGGGTGCCAGTATCTGTATTTCTAGAAAGGACAGTTCAGCTTGTTGACAGCATGTGGTAGCCTCATGTTCCATACCAACTGGGGCACAGAGGACACACCTTTATCGGGAAGTTTTAACATCTGTAGAAGAGCGCACCTGCTTAGGAGCATTGTGACAGAAGACTGGGTTGTGGAGGTACATTCACGCTCTGCTCCGTGTAGTGGGGGGCACAGCAGTGGAGGTACATTCACGCTCTGCTCAGTGTAGTGGGGGGCACAGCAGTGGAGGTACATTCACGCTCTGCTCAGTGTAGTGGGGGCGGGCACGGCAGCAGGGCACGTTTGCACTTTGCCAGCCAGTTCTCTGGTTCCTTTCTGTTTTGTTTGCTGTTCACACTAATGTTTCTTAGAAGTGGCATTTCCCGCCCAATGACATTTTTTTCCTACACTTCCAGAAACAGCATCATTGCACTCCTCACAGACTCCAATGAGCAGTGCCCGCTTGGAGCTCAGCTGCAGCCTGACAATGCCCTCTTCTCAGAGTTCCTTAGTACCTCCACTCACTTCCTGTGACCCCCACTGTTGCCCTTTGCCCTAGGCCCAGAGGTGAGGCTGCTCCATGTGTGACTTTCTCTGTTGTCTCCATGTTCTACTGGTGCTTTCTTGGTGCTAGCCTTTTAGCCAAGCTCCCGACAGCCACTTCTTCCTATTTTCTTAACAAGTCCTGAATGCAAGTGGAGGTGAGAGTTCCTTTCACATAGACCCTGTGACCATTAGGCAAATGGCGACAGAAATAGGCATTTACAGCTGAAATAAATGAGAGAGGGACACTAGCCTTCGATAGGCCCTTGGGGAAGTCACGCTGTTTAGCACGGGCTCACTTGGTCCTGAGGCACAGTGTCCCCACAAGAAGGGGAGTCGCTGGGCCCTGGATCTCAGCATTCCGTATGCTCTTTTCAAAGCGGTTCTGGATTCCAGCCTTGGGATCAGCAGATGCTTCCCTGGCTCTCATGCCAGCCCTATTGGCAACATTCTGCATCCCCACTGACTGAGTGATGTCCCTGTGGGAAGGGGATGCTGTTCACTGCCGTGGAGCCATTCTGTTCTACTAGATATTTCCTCACACAGAGAGCTTCTCCACAGACTGCAAATCCCTTAAACATATATACACCCCTCCTTCTCTCTCTCTCTCTCTCTCTCTCTCTCTCTCTCTCTCTCTCTCTCTCTCTCTGTATGTGTGCACACGCATGCATGTCTACAGATGTTTGCATGTCTTTGAGAAGGACATAGCTATCAGTACTGTAGTGGGACTATGACCCCAGGAAGACAACTGTGACCCCATGAATTATAGGAAACACTCATATTTTTATTTGTACACTGCCTCCTGAGAGTTAGGTCACTGTGAAGTCTTATCAGCCTTGGGGTCTCTCACTGAAATGAAGTTCTGTATGCACCAGCTAGCCGAGGGGCCAGCCAGCCAGCCAGCTTTCCTGGACTACACGGAGTCACTGCTTTTTGGCCTGTGCTTTCCCACTGACTGACAAGCTCCTCTCCATGTCCAGGGTCAATTCCTAGGTGCCGACTGAGATGCCATGTTCTTCTCAAAACCTCTGGACTAGGGACCCTAAACTACTCCTTCATGGTGCCCCCACCCTTCCACTTCTAGGGCCATGTCTTCCTTCTGATGGCCTGCTCCATGATGCAATCAGTTATCTGTCGTTTTCTCTACTGCCCATGGGAGCATCAGCTCCAGCAGGAAGGGGCTGGGATGTAGCTTCTCTCTGCTACACCCAGTGCCAAGCATGGCATCTAGAACACAGCAGGAGTCTACTAATGCTGATGAAGGGACGCTTACAGAAAGAAGAGCCTTTCTCTTTCAGCACACACTTCCGTGCTCTCACTCTGGCCGTACACAGACCTGCCAGCTTTGAGGTCAACGGGACATCCAGATGACCATATTCATCTCTTTCTTAATATATTCACACACATGCATGCACATGTGTGCGGTTATCCCCGCAGGTGAAGAGAAAGCATGTCCACAGTGTCAGCATACACCTACCTGCATTTCTCAGAAAGCGGCTACGGTAATCCTTGATGACTCTGGTCCTGGGGTCGTAGAAGCCATCGCCACAGTCATAGCAGCCAATGGGGATTTTTCTAGGTGGGTCCATGTTGGTGAGCTGAGAGATACCTTAAGGAGGCACAAAGGACAGGTAGTATATCACCAAGGTCATGTGCACCCCCAGCTGTTGTTCATGTGGCTGTGGGACCAAAGGCTACTTTTGCAGGGCCAGGAGCAAAGTCATCGGGAACAGGGCCCAGGGAGCATTTGAAAACGGGGCAGTGAGCAGGGCCTTGGGAGCTGGACCCTTGCCTTCTCTGATATCATCCTCATCCATTTCCTGGGCCACCATGATAAAGTTCTGAAGTCAGAGAAACCTGGGGGTGAGTCAGAGATGGCCAGGAGAGTAGATTCAAGAGGGCTAGCCAGTGTGTGGACAGAGGCCACAGGTGTGAGCCCTTGGTCACACGCAGGACAGAGGCCACAGGTGTGAGCCCTTGGTCACACGCAGGACAGAGGCCATAGGTGTGAACCCTTGATCACACGCAGGACAGAGGCCACGGGTGTGAACCCTTGATCACACGCAGGACAGAGGCCATGGGTGTGAACCCTTGATCACAGGACAGAGGCCATAGATGTGAAGCCTTGATCACACGCAGGACCCGTGTGAACCTTTGACCACACGCAGAACAGAGGCCACAGGTGTGAACTCCTGGCCACACTCCAGGAAACCTAAGGACAGAACCTAGAGAGGGAGGTCACCAGGAAAGGGCAAACAGAGGTCTGCACCTAGACTTTATCCGAAATAGCCACAGTGGTACTGTAGGCGGAGTCTGCTTGCTTGTCCCAGCCCCCCAGACCCGAAATAGTCACACAGACACTGTATTCATTACAACACTGCTTGGCCGATCACTTAAGCACATTGCTAGCTAGCTCTTATGTCTTAAATTAACCCATTTATATTATTTTGTATTTTACCACGAGTCTCATGGCTTACTAGTAAGGTTTGTGGGCATCTATCTCCTTCAGCAGCTACATGGCATCTCTCTGACTCTGTCTTCTTATTCCCAGCATTCAGTTTAGTTTTCCTGCCTAGCTCTATCCTGCCCTGACACAGGCCAAAGCAGCTTTATTCATTAACCAGTGGTTCACAGCATACAGAGGGGAATCCCACATCAGTAGTACCATTCATTGTTTCTTGTGTACTAGACATTTGGCTCCTCCTGTCTCAGGTAATCCTCAGAGTAGCCCCTTCTTACAGAGGGAACTCACATCAGAGGCTGAGTAACAGGCCCAGTGCAAGCTAGCTAGGAAGCTGCCAGGCTCTAGGCCCTGGGTGCCAAGTGACACAGGAGGGAAGGAGTGGGTCTGAGTCTGATCCCTAAGTCAGGGGCACTTCCCCAGGAAGGAAGGGACATACAGACATTTTAAGTCTTGGAATGCCATGACTGGAGTAAAGAGGGATGCTGGAATGTTCTTTTTAATATTAAGTCCTGAATTTCCCTTTCTCTGAGCAGAAAGTCGAATGCCCACCATGCCGTGCTTGCATATCTGCATCACACAAAAGCAATGCTTGAATGTTGTCTAATTATACACTTGACCCTGACCAAAACACATGTGTATTGGCAATGATTGCTGAACGCCTCAGTCGAGTTGCCATCTTAGAGATGCTCTCGATTTTCTCCCCTGTGAGGCAGGGCAGGGAAGAGTGACCAGATGGGGCACCCTAAACAGTCTAAGAGAAGACAGGGACTGGAGGGACCCAGCCCACGAGCACATGTCCCGTCGGCCTGTGTCCCCCCTTTCCCACCCTCTTGTGCTGTAATGCTTACATATTTTTAGCATGACAGCTGTCGTGTGCCATACACCTGACATGCATGCAAAGCACCATTCCAGGTACAAATTTTCTTATTGGCAATGGACTTGTAAGGCAGAAAACACTGCTTCCCTGACTTGGATGGGGAAAGTGGAGGCACAGAGAAGTGGGGTTCCTTGGTCTCCTCCCCTTGGCCAGCCCAGGGGCCTGAGATGTGAAGACTGGGTCCTGTGGCTCTCCTGAGCCTGCTGCATCCATCTTCCCCTCAGGAAGGTTCAGTGGGGACCAGGCATTCATTTCAGGTGCCTTCCACCTTTCTCTGGCTGTGGATGTGCTACCTGAGGGCTTCAGGCCGTAGCAGATCTCGGTGTGGAATCTCCGGTCATAACTGTCGCAGTAATGCCAATGTTTGTCCTCATACTGCAGCCCATCAGCAAAGGTGTACTTGCCCTGGAAGGAACCAGAGGATACCAAAGCCTTGTTACCAAGGAAACAGTGACAGCTGCCACAATGGCCATGGTTGTGAAGATTAGGGGAGACAGAGGTACTGCACCCAGCCTATGTATGATGCAGAAGTCATGGCGACTGCATGGAGCTGGGCAGGTGGCCTAGGCTCGGACCAGGTTCCTCATTGATAGGATTAGGATGACAGTATCCCCCTAACACGGGTGGCTGGGAATTTGGTGAGATAGGTATGTGCCAAGCTTATCTGGGAGGTGTGTGTGTTTTCCAAAGAGATTAGCATTTGAGTTGACAGACTGAGTACAGAGATCACCCTCGCCCATACAGATGGGCACTGTGAAAGACCTGATCAGAAGATGGGGCAGAGGAAGGACCACTTGCTCTCAGCTGTCCTGGGATGCCCATTTCATCTTGGCCTTGTACATCAGCACACCTGGCCTCTGCCTCTCGAGAGTCTCTGATTTCAGTTTGGACAAGAACTACAGCTCTGGCTTCTCTGGGCCTCCAGCCTTCAGAGGATACACTGTGGCCCGGCTTCCATTATCTCATGAGCCAGACTCTGTCTGTCTGCCATGCCCTCCTGATCACTCTCCTCCTCTGAGTGCTCTGATACCCACAAAGGAACACTTGCACATGCTGTTTTTCCTTTTATTATTATTGTAGCTGGAAAAGCCAGAGCCAGGAGCCACAGCCTCCTGCCCAGATGTGTGCATTCTGTTCGTGCTGCTTCAGAGCTAAAGGAAACCTCAGGATGTAAAGAGCACATCAGCCTAGGCCTCAGGAAACATGGGTGGAAATTCCCACAATACTGTTTGTTCACTGTGTGACCTTGGGTAAGTCACATCCCCTTCCTGAGGCTTAGAGTCTCCAAGCTATAAAAGAAGAAGCATTTCTTAACCTTTATTTAGGTCATGCGTCAGGCCCAGCAAACACTCAGGGAAACTCAAATGAGTACAGGTCATTTCCCCGCAGAAAAATATAGTTCCATATTCACAGAGGCTTTTGTGTGTGCATAAATCAGGGGTCCACTGATCCCTAAGTTCTACCCATAAACCCCAAGATGAGAACCTTTGGATTCGATGATGCAGCAGAGGTGGTGCTGTGTGTCAGGAGATGGCTGAGAATGCACACTTCTCTCTACAGTCAGCACCATCGTGGGTGGCTAAGCTACGCCGTCCCACCCTACCCCCAAAGCTGACCAGACCTGCTGGAACTTGTGAATGTGTTACCTTGCATAATTTTAAAAAGAGACCTCTTCTAGAATCTCTCAATGTGAGGGTCCTTACAAGAGAGAGGTAGACAGGTCCAGGGGAGAGGATGAGACGGCAGGAGCAGGGGAGAAGAAGTGACTTGGAGCTGTGAGCAGAGACTGGAGTGATACCTGGGCCTGAGTCAAGAAATGCAGGCAGCTTCTAGAAGGTAGAAAAAAATGTGCGGAAAGAGATTCTCTCCTGGGGTTGGCCTGCTGGCCCTGTTTAGGCTTCCAGTCCCCAGAGCCATACAATGGTACATGGAGGCTGACTTAACATGGTCAGCTGAGGGGTAATCCACCACGGCAGCAGTACATAGCCACGCTGACTATTGTTAATTCAAGGCTGGGGAGTATGGACTGGGCAGTGGCGGTGCACACTTTAATCCCGGCCCTCGGGAGGCAAAGGCAAGCAGATCCGTGAGCTCAAGTACAGCCTAGTCTATACAGTGAGCTCCAGGACAGCTAGGGACACGCAGAAAAACCCTATCTTGAAAACCACACACACACACACACACACACACACACACACACACACACACTGAGGAGCATGCATTTCAGAGATAGAGAGTCACTGGCCAGAGAGCAGACTGTAATGGCACAGCAGGATGGAGGGAGGGGAGAATGGAAAGAGGCAACAACAGGTAGGGAGGCTATGGGGCTACGGCAGGTGGGGGGCTCTTCCTGCCTGAGACCCTTCCCGAAGCCCCAGCTGGTCACCTTCACCACCAATCCTTTCTCCCAGGTGGCGTCGAATCGGCTCCCACTGGGAAAGAACAGGGTTCCTTCTCCATGGAACATGCCGTCCTTCATGTCCCCAACATATCTCGTCTCAGTAGGGAGGATGTACTCCGCATCGCCCTCCATCCTGTAAGGACATGGGGGGGACAGTCACTCTCTCCATCCTTAGGTGTCATCATTCATCACGATTCTGGCAGAGCTTTTGTGGGGCTTTGTTTTCATCAACCCCCCCCCCCAAAGTTGTTTAAGATGCGCAGCCTTTGCTCTGTCATCCTCCCTGCCCCTGCAGACTGTCCTGGAGTTGATGCTGTTCACTGCTGGCCTTGCTAGGTCCAGAGAGGGCTGTGGACGGTGTCAGAGCTACACAGCAGAAACTGCAGAGACCAGCGGCTCAGGCAGCTGATTCTGAGTCCACCGTGACCAGTTCAGTCTTGCCCACTAAGCAAATCCTGTCAAATGTTAGCTTGGGCCAGCTACAGAAATCACTCTGCACCTTACCTTACCTTTTTCATTTGTCAAATGGGAATCACCATGAGGCATGGTGGCTATTACAAAATGTAGAAGGTCTTTCTTCTTCTCTGTGTTCTCAAGTAGAATCATCTAGAACTCAGCTGTGCAGCACTTCCAGGAAAATCATGACCATGAGGTCAGAGGCCCTACATTTATTTATTTATTTATCAACAGAGATTCACTCTCTATCTGATGCTGACCTGGAGCTCATGTAGCTCAGACTGGCCTTGAAGCCATGTCAATCCTCCTGCCTCAGCCTCTCAAATGCTGCGATTGTAGGTATAAGCCACTATACTGGGTTTTTCATTTTTATATTTAGATATGGTACAAGCAAATCATGAATTTTAATGTTTTGTTAAAACAGTTTTATTTATGAAGCATAATTGATATGCAAAACTGTACACAAAATTAAAGTGTATAGCTTATGAGTCTTGACACATATCCTGGAAACCATCATCATAGTTAATATAATTAATATATCCCCCACCCCAGCTGCTGCATAATCTTCTTTAATCTTTCTTATTTGTTCTTTCCATTCCTCATCCCTAAGCAAATACTCATCAATTTTCTGTGACCATGAATTCATCTTCACTTCCTATAATTTTATATAAAAATCATATACTATGTGCTCCTTTTTGGGAGGGGGGACTTCCTTCACGCAATATAATTCTTCTGAGATCTATTCATATTACTGCTGTGTGAACCAGCATTCTCACTGTGTGTGCTCTTCCAGTGAATGGATATACCACATTGTTTGCTCATTCACATGTTGGAGGATGTTTGGGTTCATTCCAGTTTCCCGTTATTACAGTCTCAGTTACATAAAGCTGTTGAAGTACCCACAAGTATGCCTTTGTATGAGCGTGTATTTCCATTTATCAGGCTAATACCTAGGAGTCAAATGCCTGTCTTATTTTTTAAGAAAATGTCAAGTTCTTCCAGAGCACTTGTCCAATGTTATATTCCCACCAGCAATGGGAAGTCTAACCAAATATTAAGTATTAATTTATTCTATATAAGAAGTGATTCCAGGCATTTAAACTCTAAAAATAAATTGCCTCCTCTCAGACCAAGAAAGAAAAGAGCCCCCTCCCCCTGCCATTATCTCCCTGTGAAAAGAACATCTGTATGCATACTGTTAAGTTTCCCCTTGAATCCTCTGTGAAAACAACATCTGTATGCATACTGTTAAGTATCCCTTGAATCCCCTCGGGGTGTTCATTAGCTCTGCCTTCTGATGAGGAAATCGAGGTCCACCTCTAGCGGAAGGCTGGGTTCTCTCAGAGCTGTTTCTCTCATTACATGCTGGATCTAAGCAGCCCCAACGATGACTGTTGCCAAAAACCAAGATTCAGGCAGAGTACATGGCAAAACTATGAGAAGAAGACCAGCAAGTCAACTACTATCTTCTTGTGGGTTGTGGGCAATCAAGAGGCTCCTGTCAGGTCTGGGTTTCAGTACTGTGACTACAGCAGTAGCAAAAAGACCCCATTGCTTGGGATGAGCAGGGGTGGCTGGTGCAGTACAGACAGGTGAAAGTGTGTAGAATTCTGGCCTTCTGTCGGTATCTGTCTGTCTCACTGACTTTATGTGCAGAGCACATCATAAAGATGTGTGTGGGTTTCCCGGTTTCCTTCATCTCCACCTGACAAAACTTCTGCTGTAGCAAGGCCAGGTGGGAAGACGTGATGTGGTTTACACACAGAAATGGGTAGGAATCCTTACCCCATTGCTTCTTAGCATTGTCCTAAGAGTGAGTAAGCCGCTTGTTTTGCCTAAGTTCAACCATGAACGTGCGAGATCAGCCTGAACTAGATCACTGTTGTGGAAGTGTTGTACACCCAGCATCTCTGCCACCTTCCGAAGGGTCAGACAAGAGTCTCGAGTCCTTTACCCTCTCCCTTGCAGAGGTGATTGAAGATTTGAGTCATCACCCATATGAATTATCACCACTTTCTCTAGGAAACCATCCATCCCTATGGCCGGCTAGACCATCGCTCCCGCAGCCTCAAACTCAAAACACCCTGCAGTTCCTCTAGCTTGTGTACACAGACCCTCCCAAATCAGGCCTTCATCTCTCCATCTCCACAGCCCCATGGAGTGATTTACACCCCAACAACTATCACTTATCTGTCAATATACTTCCCCCCAGCCTCAGGCTCTCCAGCTCTCAAAAATATTCCACTTTCTTCATCTGGAGCTGCTAGCCACACTGGGTCCTCTCTCATGTCCACAGGGCTGACCTTGATTACTTGTAACTGTGTCGGGCTTACTTGCCCTCATGTCTGCCTGAGCTTTTTGAGGGCAGGGATTATAACTGGCATTTGCTGAATAGCATTTCCTATTTTCCATTTTTTTTTGAGACAGGGTTTCTCTGTATAAGAACCCCAGCTGTCCTGGAACCAGCTCTTGTAGTCCAGGCTCCTGTTTTCCTTTCTTAAAAAGTCATTTTTTAAAAAAATTATTTTTATTTTTTAATGTGTATGAGTGTTTTGCCTACATGTTTTTATGTGCACCATGTGCGTGCCTGGTACCCACAGAGGCCAGAAGAGGGTGCTGGGATACGCACACATATCACACAATAAATTGAATGAATCCCACCTATGTGGCGTATTAGACATGTGTGCATGAGCATGTTAGTAGTGCAAACGTTTGAAAATGCTTGGCTCAAGTCCCGGGCAGAGAGCAAAAGGCAGCTGCCTTTCTCCAGCCCGGGAGTGGACACACGGAGGAATGGAACCTTACCTCCCGTTTATGTATGACCCGATATATTTGCTCCCGGTGTACTGCATGTCAGCGGCTAGAGTCTAGCGAGACAAAACAACTTCAGCGCCCTCAGTGTTACTATAACAACCAGGAGGTGTGGGCGGAGTTCAAACGAAGTCCCGCCCCCCAACCCCGCTTGACTTCCTGAAATGGCGTACACGCGTCTACTCCAGCAGCGGCAGAGCATTGCGCCTGCGCGCCGCTGGAGACGCATGCGCAAATGGTACAGGGCAACCTGGGAGACCCAAAGGGGAATTGAAGGAGACGGGCGACGCGGCTGAGGGCACCTGATCAGGGTCGGGGCTGCCGCCGTCATGCCGGGGATAGTGGAGCTGCCCACTGTGGAAGAGCTGAAAGTGGAGGAGGTGAGGCTCGCCCTGAGGGCAGGCGGGAGGCCCGGGGCTGCAGCTGCTGCTAAGCTGGCCCGCGCTCGGTCCCGGCCTCTGCGACCTGCAAGATCACTTCCCGCCGTGTCTCCAAACACCCAGGCCCCCACCAGTGACTCTCTTCCTGTGAATCGGGGTGACACTCTCTGATATCACCTAGTCCCTTGCTGTACCTCCGCGTGAGGCGAGTATGCCTTCCCAGGTGCTCACCTTCCACCGAGTCTGTCAAAATCTCGGCGCAGAGGCCTGGGGGCCGCGGCAGCGTGTGTGTTGGACAGTGAGGCTGGCGTGGGTCAGGGTCTTTGGTAACAGGACGCACTTAAAGCATTTACTTCTTGTAGAGACATTTAAATATTTGTTATGTGCACATGCAAATATGAAAGGGACAGTGCCCTTCTTTGGTAGTTTCTAGTTTGATAAGGAGATAGGTAAGACTGGACAGCACAATGCAGCTGGTGCTGTGGAAACTGAAGTGCAGGTGATGTGTTATTGTAATTATGGCAAACACAACCAAGCCACTTCTCCAGGCCAAGTTGCTAATTACTTGGGACACACAGTGAGGTAAGATATAACTCATCTTTCTTGAAGTACAGAAGTAGGGCCCCGACAGTAGGAGTGATCTGCCCAAGGTCACAGAGACTATGTGTGGAACAGGTGGAACGGGGATCCAGATCTGTTCTGAAGCCTGTGCAGGGAAGGCTCAGCTAAACTATGCTAGAGTGGAGAAAGCCAGAGATGTTTGGTGTCAGCCTAGTGTTAGTGGTGGGCTGAGCCTCTGGAGGAGTCACTGACCAGGCCAGAGCAGTTTGGACTTGATCCTGTGAGATGATGGGAAAGGGTGGATGTGTTAAGGCAGAAGACTGCCATGGCAGGATTTGATAAAATAAATAGACCGGCAAGGCTAAAAATTAAATGCTGAGAATTCCACAGAAGGCACTGTCAGATGTTTTCCCACGCCACTTCCTGTACGCTCTTGACAACCTGTGAAGGGGGCAGCTGTCATTTTTCTCAAATGAAGAGCTGCTAGCTGTCCTCATGGTATGAGTGACATTTACTAAGAAGTGACAAGGGATGTTCCCATGAGCCAGCTTTTTATTCTTATCCCATCCTAAAACTGGTTTAACATGAGTTGACATGTTTTTTTGTTAGATTTTTAGTTGGCTCAGCAAACATTTCATGCAGGAGCTTTTAATACATTTTTCTTTAAAGTTAGAACTATTAATTTATATGATCATGCAAATAACTAAAGTGTAATAAAAGATAAGACACATATGATTAAATATATGAGGGACAGGTAGGACTGGGTTAAGGAGAAAGTAGGATTTGATATTGATTCTGAGTTCTAGACCTAATTCTTGGTCGCTTTGAGTAGCGGTTAGCACTTGTAAACAAGGGTGTTCTGCTAGCAGGATGAGGCGTCTCTATGAACAGTTCTGTATGAAACATAAAAAGATGGAGAAAGCACATGTTAGCTTATTGTAAAACACAGCATTTGAAATCTGGTGTTTTATGGGTAGGGATGGAGAGAAAAACTGAGTAGTGGAAGAAGGAAGTGAATAAAGTAAGGAGATGGGGAAGCTGGGGCTGGACGTGGGTCCTGGAAGCATTGAGCACAGGCTCTTTTGTGAAGTCTGGTGAGAAGGCTGGAGAGGTAGTTTGAGCCCAGAAAGCCTTGGACAGCAAACAGGAAGTTCAGGTTTTCTGCCGCTGCTGAGCACGACTTTTTTGGGGAGTTGGTTTCTGAATTGTAGCAGCAGAGTAAAATAAAAGTTTTTGGAAGGCCACTTCAAGTGACTTATAGAAACTGGATTGAAGAGTAAGAAACTTGGGAAGACAGTGACTGTTAAAATAACGGAGAAATACATGGATAACCATGGTAACCTTGTGAGTGAGTCCTTACTCAGCAATAATGCTGAAGAGCCTGGGTTGGGTCTGGAATATGACAACAGACCCAGAGGGGCAAAGAGCAGCAGCAATGGCTTTGGGGAGCAGATAGAATTCATTTCAGGCTTTATGACTTAGGAGTCATGTCACATCCCTATGGGGTGGGGATAAACATCCAGAAGCTTTGAGTTAAAAATACCAGCCGGACAGTGGTGGTGCTTTCCTTTGGAGGAAAGGAGGACTTTGGAGGGAGAGGCAGGTGGATCTCCAGGTTCGAGGCTAGCCTGGTGTACACAGTGAGTCCCAGGACAGCCATGGCCACACAGAGAAACCCACCACCACCAACAAAAGTATTCCTTGGTGTCTTGATAGTTTTGAGTGAAAATTAAGCAACAGGCGGTACTGATAGACTTGGGTCAGGTACATCCTTCGCATGTTTACAGGCCTGAGCTCACTGGATCTTCACAAGGCCCTAGGGAATGAGTGCACCACACTCCACTGTACACAAACAGGAAATAGACATCAGGAGGTATGGGCGTGGTTTGTGGGGGCTTTGCTGAGATTCTGCCTGTGTGGAAGCCTGTGGTGCAGAGTGGCTGTGTGAGTGATGAGGAAGGATGTTGAGATTGTGTGTTCTGGGGACAAAGGATGCTGGATGGGCTTCATCGGCCGTGAAGAAATAGCTGAGGGGATAGTTACATCTCAAGCTCTCCATGTTCTCTGCGATAGTAATGTCACGCCAAAGGAAATTTCACTTATATGTAAGTTGACGTTTGTGTTGCTAGTCGTGACAGACAGTGCTGGTGGGCAGTTCTGGCCCTCATCTGCTTTCTGTAGAATGGAGGGGAACCTCTCTCTCTTCCTTCCCCAACATTAGTCTTAGGAGTAAATTAATATGTATAAAGTGCATAAAATAAGACTAAAGACTTTCTCATGTTAAAGTCCTCAATATTTTTAAAAATCTAATTCAGTGGTATATTAAAGTAGAGTTTCCTGACAGCAAGTTTTAGGAAACCTGCTAATGCTCTTTGTTACATTTCTCGGTTGATGAAGAATCTGAGAATTCCCTGGCTGGGAAAACTGCAACAGTAAAGCAAAAGCACAGCCCACGCCCAGATGCCAACAGTCAATACCCCACCCTGCTCTTTAAAGTTCAGGCTTAATAAGTTGCCCATGGCAGAGTTGGTGCTCAATGCCCGCCTGCAGGCTTTACTAGGGCAGTAAGATAGAAATATTAGAAGAGAAACAGAGTAGCCAAAATCACTGAAAAGCAAAGATGTTGAGATCTCTGTTGGTTCTAGTAACTGTAGCAACCTGCATCTGGTCTGCAATGCTTCTCAAGACAGCGCTGAAGGCAAGCAGGGAAGTCTTGTCGTGATCACAATGCTAGAGGTAGCATTAGTGTGGGCCTCTTCCAGGACTTTATTCTTAGTAATTGCCAGACTCTGAGCTCTTTCTTTCCTTTTCCTCCCTTCCTCTGATTTCCCAGCCCTCTGGGAGTTTCAGATGTCCTTATATGATTCATTTCATTTCTGGAGAGGAATCTTAGCAATGTTGACAGTTATTTAAGCAAGATTCTGTTAGGGTCGCCAGAACGGGGCTGGTTCTTTCAGCCTGGTAAGACACATGCAAGAGCCTAACGCACTCAGTTGTACCTGACTTGGTGTGTGACCTCCTCCTCGTCGCTTTTCTAGGTGAAAGTCAGCTCAGCTGTGCTTAAAGCCGCAGCCCACCACTATGGGGCTCAGTGTGACAAGGCCAATAAGGAGTTCATGCTGTGCCGCTGGGAGGAGAAGGACCCCAGGCGTTGTCTGCAGGAGGGCAAGCTGGTCAACAGCTGTGCGCTCAACTTCTTCAGGTAAGACTCACCTGACATCTGGAACATCAAGGTGTTCTGAAATAGTCTTCAGTGAGGAAGTGGCTTCCAGCTAATTAAATGTGCAAGTGTGCAGGTTTTGAAATCAGATAGACCAAAATTATTTTGTTTCTTTTGGATTTGTTTTTATAAGGCAAGTTCCTCCATGAGTCTCAGTTGTCAGCTCTGCAATAGTGTCTGTTCTCTACAGTATTGCAGTAGGTGGTTTTTATTTTTTTTTTTTATTTTTTTATTTTTTGGTTTTTCGAGACAGGGTTTCTCAGTGGTTTTGGAGCCTGTCCTGGAACTAGCTCTTGTAGACCAGGCTGGTCTCAAACTCACAGAGATCTGCCTGCTTCTGCCTCCCAAGTGCTGGGATTAAAGGTGTGCGCCACCACCGCCCGGCTGCAGTAGGTGTTTTTAAAAGGTCTGTACAACCACATCAGCCCAATGCTTGTTGACAGACAACAGACAGTTGTGATGGTTAGGAAAGTATTGAGTATTGGGTTTTAGGTCCGACACTGTGTGCAGCACAAGCCCAGCTGTGTAACTAGCTGAACAGTGTTATTTGGGCATGGTGTTAGGGTCTTATAGTCCTAGCTCAGGAGCTGGAGGCAGGGGGACCAACAAGGGCAGCTGTGGCGACACAGGGAACTGGAGGCCAGTTTGGGCTACGTGAGATGCTCTCAAAAAAAAAAAAAAAAGTTTGGTTTGATTAAGTCAGCCTGGAACTCAGAGTGCAGTCCTAGAGTACTCATTCCTGATCCGGCTGCCAAGTGTGCGCCGGCAGTGTGCGCCACCTCACCCAGCCGCAGGAAAGGTGTTTGAGATTCTGTTGTAATAAAAGGACAGAAACTACCTAGAGTGGGTGGCTGAGAAGTCCAGAAATAGTCCTGGTGTCAGGCAGGGCTGGATCGAGGGTCTGAGTGGCAGCAGAGCTATGTCGTACCTTTTCCCTCTGGTTTCTGCAGTCTCTGGGCTCAGCACTTCTCTGCTGACGTCATTTTCAAATAGACTTTCCCTTTGCTATTGCCTTGGCATGGCCAGCAGCCACTGCAAGATGCCCTCCCCATCAGCGAGCCCTCATTGCAGTGCCATTGCCAGTGTGGGCAGAGTCCCCGCTGAGCCAGATCCCACTGTCTGTGGACCCTGGGAGGTAAGCACTCTGATTGGTCAGGCCCAAAGTGAGGTTTAGTCTTACCTTCACCCACTCTATCTGAGAGACAGGGAGTTGTTTCCCAGAGGAAAAGGAGGGGTGTTACAGAAGAGTGGGGCCGACTGCTGCCTCGTGACTCAGTGGCTGTCTTTCTTCTTTCTTGCCTGTGCTGTCCCTGTCCACATGCAAAGATACTTTTGTGGTTACAATTATAATATGTATATTTTTAATATAATGTATAATGTATACATTATACCTGACAGCTCTTGTTGGTGAGCTTCAGTCTATACTGTTTAGCCTTTCTTTCTTTCTTTGTTCTTTCTCCTTATTTTTTACTTTTATTTTTATTATGTTTTGACACATGGTTTCCTAGGTAGCCTGGCTGTCCTGCAACTCACTAAGTAGACCAGATTGGCCTTGAACTCACAGCTCCTGCTTCTGCCTCCCAAGTGCTGGGATTAAAGTTGTATGCAATTACGTCTAGTTTTTTTAATTCCTTGGTATTCATTTTCCAACAGTGTAATTTTTTTAAGGTTTAGATAATTATATTTGAGATCTGAACTTTTATTGCTATTTTTTAAACCATGAATGATTAAAAAAATTCTTAAAATGTGTTTGTGTATTTTGACTGGATATGTGTCTGTGCACCATGTTCGTACATTCCTGGTACTTTAGGATGGGAGATCAGGAGAGGGAATCAGATCCCCTGGGCCTGGATGTGAGCTGCCATGTGTGTTCTGGGAACCAAATCAGTTCCTAAGCAAAGCACCAAATGATCTTACCTGCGGAGTCCTCTCTCCAGCCCCTAATTTAAAATATATATTTATCCATGTGGAGGGGGCATGTGCACATGCCATGGTGCAGGTGTGGGGGATCAGAGGCCACCTTTGTGGAGTTGGTTTTCTTTTGTCACCTTTATGTCAGCTCCAGTGATTAAACTCAGGGCATCAGGGTTAAGGCAGTTTTACACACTGAATCAGCTCACCAGCCCCCGCCTTACTGTTTTCTAGGTTGGGTCTGTAGCACAGTGCCTGCTCTACTGGTTCACGAGCTGGGCAAGGGGCTGGAGATTGAAACATACACACACACAGAGACACAGGTGCCAAGAATGCCCCTTTTTCTGTGTTCCAGGGCAGCTTATATAGGGTCTCCTTGACTAATGGCCACACCCTAACACTCAGCTGCAAGCCCACCAGAAACCACTCCCCTGCCCTCAGGAACTCCTGAGGGTCTGCTGCTTAGAGCAGCTGCAAAACAAGTTGTTTGCTCAGAGCAGCTGCAAGCATAGGAAAACACATTGTTTACTTCGGCAGGCAGGGGGTCACAGGACATTCAGGGTCTGGGGGTCCACAGTCCCCAACAGGGTCAACTTAGTCTGCCCTCTGCACTGATGCTATATACACAGTGTTTAAATATTTAGGAGATAGGAGATAGTGCTTTATGATGCCTGGAGTTATGTCAGTATTATTGCCTTCAGGGTTAAATACGCCTTTACTTATTTTGGGGAATAAAAGTGACTTTCTAAGATTCCTGAAGCTGGAGATGACCACCGAGGCATGGTGAGCAGAGGCCAGGCAGGGTCTCCCGCTGCAGTGCTGGGCTGTGATTCCTGTTACGACTGTGGAGAACACAGAAGAGGAGGGTGGGAGTTACCCAGGGTGCTAGGTAACTTTGGGAAGGCCTAAGATGGAAACTGGGTGAGCGGCAGGGAGCAGCATGGAGGGTAGACTTGTGCTGCATGCGTAAACTCTCCGAAAGTCTTCCTGAGACACCCGGAGAGGGGTGGTGGGGGTTACATAAAGTAGTATTTTATTTTATTTTTCTCGAAGTTTTATTTTAATTCCTAACAGGTTTGAATGAAAAGGGAAGGGGTTGCCCCAGCCATTTTTTCTTCTCTTCTTATCTCTACCCTCCCTTTCTCAGGGGAGGGTGGGTGGAATAGAGTGATGTAGTTCAGGCTGGCCTCACATCCACCCTGTACCTAAGGCTACCCTTGAATTCCCAATCCTCCTGTCTCCACCTCCCACATGCTGGGGTTACAGTCCTGTACCCCACACCTGTAGAAGTTAGCTTGATTTGGGAAATAACCAGGCTAGCTAAATGATAAAACAATTATATCTTTATTTATTATAAGGGGAAAACTCACGAAACAGGGACGAGAAGTCCAAGCTCAGCTGTGCTGGAGGGAACCACAGAGAGAGAGCACCTGGGCCTTGTTTTTTTTTTTTTTTCTCCAGACCCCAGAAAGCCACACCCTAACTTGGTCCCACCTCTTAAAGATAATTGGTTAACAAAGCTTCCCCATCACCACCTAGCTTTCCTTGGCCTGTCTTTTCTTTGTGTATCTGTTCTTATGTCTGTGTGAACATATATGTGTATGAATGTGTGTGGGTCTGTGTGGGTGTGCACATGTGCCCACATTCATTCAGAAACTCAAGGCTGAGACCGGGAATCCTTATTCTGTGAGGTGTGTCACTCAGGCATGGAGCTTAGCACTATGGCTAGTCTCACCCGCAAGCTTGCTTTGCATCTCCTGTCCCCTCCTTCAGAGGATGGAATTTACAGTGGGGCAGCCAGGGCACCTTGGCTCTTAGGTGGTTCTGTTACTTATGTGCCAGATGCTTTAGGTACTGGCCGTCTCCCTAGCTTCCTCCAGCAGCTTCCATGGTTCAGAGGGAGTTATTTGCTGCTCTGCTTCCTAGCAGCGCCCAGCTCTTCATAGTGAGGACTGATTCTGGCCAGCACTACCTCCCTCCCGTTAGTTAATGTGCTCGTGTTTGAAGGTCTCTTACCCCTGGCCTCTGTCAGCATGCCAGGTTCTGACTGCTTCCTTCCCTTCTGAGTTTGCTGAGCTGTGATGTAAAGACTGAGCAGGCTCTAGAGAGGTCTCCTGAGTAAAATGCCTGTGGCTTAGGCCATAGGCTTTTATTTTTGATGAATAAAGGAAGGTTTGCTCCTGAGAAATCTTGCTGTGTTTTATTTCTTACTTACTGATTCTTAACTTTGGGTTTTCTTTTTCTTTATTTATTTATTCATTCATTCATTCATTCATTTATTTATTTATTTTGGATATTTGAGACAGGGTTTCTCTGTAGCTTTGGAGCCTGTCCTGGAACTCCCTTTGTAGACCAGGCTGGCCTCGAACTCACAGAGATCCACCTGTCTCTGCCTCCCGAGTGCTGGGATTAAAGGCGTGCGCCACCACCGCCCAGCGGGTTTTCTTTTTTAATTACAAAGCATATGGAAAGTTAGGCTTCATTATGACATTTTTCAAGCAAAATTTGTTTTTGTTGTTGGTCTCCCCTCCTTTGTGTGCTCCCACCCCCAGTCCCCTTGTCCTAGTCTGTACCGGCTCTCGCAACCTTTGTTCTTCTGCCTCTCTTATGACCTGCTGTCCTACAACATACAAATACACATGTATTAAAAGTCTAAAACCACATGAGATATGAGAGAGGATGGTGGTTCGGGTCTCAGACTGTGCCACCTTGCTTAATATGACACTTACTAGTTCTGTTTTCCTGCAGATTCGTATTTCTTAGAGGCTGAGTAAACCAGGCATGGTAGCACACTGGAGGCAGAGGTGGACAGATCTCTTGAGTTTGAGGACAGCTTGGTCTGCATAGTGAGTTCCAGGACAGCCAGGGCTACACAATGAG